AAGCTTGTGTATCCACTATTTTGAACAAAAAACGGCCAAACAGGTTGCCATATTTCGGTTGTAGTGTTTCGTAAAATAGCCAGACTTTCATATGAACACTTATAAACAAACTTGCGAGATAATTTTTGAGCAAAACAGCCGAAAAAATACGACAAATTCAAGAAAGGTTCTTTAATATCGTAAACAATTTTCAAAATTAATTGGTCTTTAAGTACGACCGAAATATGACAACCTACTTGCATATTTTTCTTCAAAACAGTGCATACAATAATACACAGCTTCAATAAGGCGTCTTCCTCGCTCGCAGATTTCACTTGAAATTGGAAAGAAATTATACATTTCATATTCATATCAACAATGAAGAACGTTGCAGTGAACACTCGGTTGCTCATGTATTTTTCATTTCTTAAGCTCTAGATCTTGTATTGTCATTGCCACGTACAGTTTCTTCAAAAATCAAAACAGCTTTGAACTTATTTGATTTTGTTTGAGGCAGTTTAGTTGTTGAAATTTTGTTTGGCTCAAAATTCAAAAACAACTAAACATGATTACGTGATTGATATGTTTGTAATATTTCGTCCAATTGCAACGAGGAATGATGACGTGTGCACACGCCTTTATCCAATCAGATTAAAGAAATATAGCGATAGCACACGTCAGCAAATTGGAATTTGAATTTTGGAAATCGGAATTATTTTTTAAAAATAAAACAGCGGCTTTTGCATTTAATCAGAGAATAGATACTATAGACTATAGTCTCTCCTATGTGATTTAATATTGCCACCAAAAACTGACAATGATTGAATGAGAAAGTAAAGTGTCCATTTAGTGCGATTTTTCTCTTTACTCACATTTTCGATTTGTTTCCCAACAACAGGCTTGTTGAAACTTGTTGCGACAGGACAAAAATTGTTTGTTGTGGACAAGTTTGTCGCAGGTCTGATAACAAGCTTGCTGCAGACTTGACAAAAACAACTCGCGACAGGTCTGTTGGAACAAGTTGTAAACGACCTGTGGATTCCAACAGACTTGCTGCAAGTTGTTCTATCAGACCTGTTATCTCTTGTTAGTAACAGGTTTGTAGCAGGTTGTTTCAACAAGTCGCTACGGCTCTGTTGTCAACAGCTTGCGACAGACCTGTTCCCGCAAGTCTGTTACCGCCTGACAAAACCAACAGACATGTCGCGACTTGTTGACAACTTGCCGCAAGCCGGTAAAATCAACAGCTTGCGACAGGCCTGTGAGATTTCTGGCTGTGTAAAGCATGGTTAACTTTAACTACTTTTTAACTGCAGTTAAGGCTATAAACTACACTTTTATACAACCGGCTTAACTACGTGATTAAAGTTAACTATTTTTTAAGGCTTTTTCACTACTTTTTAACTGCAGTTAGCGCTAATTACGTTTTTATACAACCGGCCCCAGGTGCTCTTTAACAGGGAGCTACCAATATCTTTAAGGATTGGTGTAATATGATCAAATTTTTTCCCATTAGCTATAATTCTGCACGCAAAATTTTGGACGGCTTGTAGTTTCCTAATATTTGAAGAGCTCGTATTTGACCAAACTGTTGAACAGTAATATAATTTACCCATAACTACCGCGCAGATGATGTAAATCAGCGTCTTTTGATCAAAACAACGTTTGACACGATTAATTTGACACAGTTTAGCCATGCACTCTGGTGAGAGCTGGGGTATATGTTCGTTATATGTCAAGTTGCGGTCCAGGATTATTCCAAGGTCGCTTATCGAAGTGACAGGAACGATTGTCTTATTTAAAAAATTCAAAGACATATCATCTGATAGTAAATTTAGAAACTTTCGCGTTCCAACTAACAGAAACTTGGTTTTCTCGGGATTAATCAATAATGAATTTTTGCAACACCATTCGGCTACAAGGCGAAGATCAGTCTCAAGTTAGATTAAAGAAATATAG